CAGCACCTCGAAAGCTCAATGATTAACATTAATCCAAACCTAATGGGTAAAAACGACAATTTGTAGTTTTACGAGGACCAGTTGCCTGGCGACAAGCTGAGACACCAGGAAGTGACTGCTCTAAGTCGAGAAATATCATTCCTGGACCAGAACCCGGTTTTACTGACTGTGTGTTTACTTTGGTTCTTCCTGCCAGCTGTCGTCCGCTCGGCCTGCGCACCGACGGTCTGATGGGGACTCGCAGAGACAAGATGAACGCGGGAGCGGGTCTGGCAGACATTGATCCCATGGCCATCGACCACTCGGTGAGTTTGGATGTTCAAATGTTACAGTGTGGTGATTAATGACACCATCCTCCCTCACTGCCTCACCCACTCCCTCCCCTTCCTCCCTCCCTTCCTTCCCTCCTCAGGTTGGGTTTGATAGCATCGGAGGTCTGTCAGGTCACATCTCAGCTCTGAAGGAGATGGTCGTCTTCCCGCTCCTCTACCCCGAGGTATTTGACAACTTCAAGATCCAACCTCCCAGGTGAGTTAGATATTTACACATTATATTTATATTTATATTTAGGAGCACGGACATATATAAACATCTGTATTGCCCCCTGGTGGCAGACTGCAGAACTTCACAGGAATAATATTTTGCCTGTCTCACTCTATCCAGAGGCTGTCTGTTTTACGGTCCACCTGGGACGGGGAAAACGCTGGTCGCCCGGGCGCTGGCCAACGAGTGTAGCCACGGCAACCGGAAGGTGGCCTTCTTCATGAGAAAGGGCGCCGACTGCCTCAGCAAGTGGGTGGGCGAGTCGGAGCGCCAGCTGCGGCTGCTGTTTGAGCAGGTAGAATTCCCTGTGCCGCCCCCCGCTGGCTGGCTGCATACATCTACAGTCAATATATTGGAGGAGATGTGTTAGACAAAGTTTAAGTGCTCTGTTTTAGTGTCATTTTCCAAAAGCAACTGTTTTTGACCCTAATGTATCCCAATCATGTTGAGTAAGTAAAGAAGAAAAGAAAGAAGTCCAAAACTACTTTATTAGTTCCTTTAAACATCCAATTTCTCCCCACATTGTCCCTCTGTTACCTTCAAGTTACTGAAAAATACTTTAAAATACAGTTTTTATTTACTTTTCTTCATCAGAGATTTTGTGTGTGTCGTCCTCAGGCGTATCAGACGCGTCCCTCCATCATCTTCTTTGATGAGATCGATGGTCTGGCTCCGGTCCGATCCAGCAGGCAGGACCAGATCCACAGGTCGGAAAACAAACTCAACTAAAACAAAACTGCACAGAAATACCTGCTTTTAGATTTGGTCAGCTTTGGTCTCATTATGTCCGTCCTGCAGCTCCATCGTGTCGACGCTCCTGGCTCTGATGGATGGGTTGGACAATCGAGGGGAGGTTGTGGTGATCGGAGCGACAAACCGGCTCGACTCCATCGACCCAGCGCTGCGGCGGCCCGGACGCTTCGACAGGGAGTTCCTCTTCGGCCTGCCCGACAGAGAGGTGATGCCTTTCAGTAGCTCTTTCCCAGATCCAGTGTACATAAACACAATGTTTTCACTTAATACTCATGCTCACGTTATTCATCTTCTTATTCTTGGACCTAATTTTTCTGTTATTCTGCTTAACTTTAATTTTGTCCCAGTTTTTTGTTCCAGTTTTTGGTCATTTTCTTTCATAGCTGTTAAATTTACTCGACTCAACTGACAATTTTATTCGGTTTGTGTTTCAGTCTCGTAAAGAGATCCTTAAAATCCACACCAGGCAGTGGAAACCTCCTCCGTCTGAGGATTTCCTGGATGAACTGGCTGAGAAATGTGTCGGTAAGAAAGACTTTATTTTCACCACCACCAAATACTGTACTTATACTGTTCAGTGGAAAAAGTCTCATGCTTTCTCAGTGGCCTAAATAATAAATGATATAATAATACAAAGCTGGAGAGAAATAACTGCATTAAATGTGTCCTTACAGAAATACAGTATACAGGTTTTGTTCTGTATATTTTCTGCGGTATTAAAGTTTTAAATCTCTTTTTAATGTGTTTATAAAACCTTTTAATTAATCTGTTGGTTGATTCACTTCCTGAACCTCCGTCTGTCTTTCAGGTTACTGCGGCGCTGACATCAGAGCGGTGTGCACCGAGGCAGCGCTGTGCGCTCTGCGTCGGCGCTACCCGCAGATCTACGGCACCTCCCAGAAGCTCCTGCTGGACGTCTCCTCCATCGCCGTCAGCAGCTGCGACTTTGTGGCGGCCATGAGGAAGATGTCGCCGGCCTCCCACCGCCTCGCCGCTTCGCCCGCCAAACCCTTGTCACCCGTGGTCCACCCGCTGCTGGGCGCCGCCCTGCACGACATCCTGGAAGCTCTGCAGAGGCTGTTCCCTCACGCCGAGCAGGGGATGAAGAGGAAGAGGGAGCCAGGTGAGTCCCAGCTGAAGGCTGGAGACGCTCCAGCTGCCGCCCGGGTGAAATATCTTGTTCACACAAACTCTTTTATCTCTTGTTTTCTGCATGTCAGACCTGACCTCTGGTATCCTTGACGACGGCCTGATAGGAGATGAGGTCTCCAGCACATCCAGCATCTCCACACCGTCCACATCCAAGAGCAAAAAGTTCCTGCACTTTGCCAGGTGAGTCTGATCGACACTTCAGGAAGATCTGAACCAGCAGGTTTCACATATTTTATTTTACTAAAATAATATAACATATAATAACACATAATTCTACTAGAATAACATCTAATATATAAAATATTTTCAACCTGATACCAGTTTATTTTTCTGTGTCATTTACTGTGAGAATTTAAAGGTTATATACACAAACTTCATGTACCACTGGGTGTTGCTCTAGAGCACCAACATCTCAGACCAAAACAATGGAACAGAAACAAAGTAAAACTATTCTTTCCAACAATCACCAACTCGAAATAAATCCTTAATTCACCGACAGTTTCAGTCACTTTCTCATAAATCCCTAATACCTTTTTCACCCTGTCTGTTTCTTTTTATTCTCCCCTCCATACTGTTTAACTTCCATCCCTCTTTCTTCCTTCTCTTCCTCAACCTCCTTTCATTGCCTGTCTCGCTGCTCTCCCACCGTCCTGCAGGAGTGCAGTCAAACAGCCAACGTCCCACCGTCCCAGGATGCTCCTGGCAGGTCGTCCTGGCGCCGGTCAGACGTCTCACTTGGCTCCTGCGGTTCTGCACGCTTTGGAGCGTTTCACCGTCCACAGCCTGGACTCCGCCGTGCTCTTTGGAGTCAGCAGCACCTCCCCGGAGGAAGCCTGCGCCCAGGTGACTCCTCAGCAAACATCACGCTCCCTCATAGTGAACCTTAATTCCAGATTCAGTAGCTGTAATCAGACAGGAGGCCTGCTGCTCCTGATATGTGTTGAGTGGAGGATTTCAGTTTGGACCCAGTTCCAGAGATGCGTTTAACAATTTCAGTTTTACATTTAAATAGTGGTCCTGCACTCATTTCACAAAATTAGGTTTAGGATGTTGCATTCTCTAACTCTCTATCTCCCTAGAGATTACAACAGCTCAGAGCTCTGCTGTACTTCAGTGACATCTGGTGGTGATGACAGGCAACTGCAGACTGTTGTCATTACTTTTATACTTAAACAGTATTTTGCAAACTTGGAATCAAAGAAAAACCAACAACACAAAACATAAACATCAACATAAGAGGAAGAAACAACATGAAAATGAAAGCAGAATCAAAGATCTCTGTGGTGAACAACGTTCTCTGACCCCTCAGGTGTTCTGCGAGGCCAAGCGGACGTCTCCCAGCATCCTCTTCATCCCCCACATCCAGCAGTGGTGGGAGACAGCAGGGCTTTCACTGAGGGCCTCGTTCTTCAGCCTGCTGGGCAGCATCCCCTCTTTCTCCCCGATCCTGCTCCTCGCCACCTGCAGCATCCCCCATCAACGGCTGGACCCAGAGGTGAGCAGCTGGATGTATTGCTTCAGATTGTAGTTTTTTAGCAGTTTTTGTCAAACGGCATTTTTAGCCTTTTTGAGCTGGAAAAAAAAAAACACCATGAAAGTGCTCTGATGTCTGTTTCCATCCTCAGATTCAGTCTCTGTTTCGGGAGGAGTACGGGGAGGTTTACACTGTCAGCGTTCCAACCCGGCAGGAGAGAACCGACTTTTTCCAGGACCTCATTCTGAACCAGGCGGCCGAGGCTCCACCCTCCAGTTCAAAAACATGTACGTGTGACTCCATGTTTAGTGTCAGAGGATAAAACCACCATATGAACAAAATTAATTAGATAAGTGACGGTATGTTTGACCTCTCAGTGACTAAGGCCATGGAGATCCTTCCCGTGGCTCCCCCGCCTCCCCCCCGCCAGCTGTCGGAGCAGGAGCGCCGCCATCTGGAGGAGCAGGAGGAGGACGTGCTGCGAGAGCTCCGCCTCTTCCTGCGTAACGTCACTGAGCGTCTGGCTCTGGACCGCCGCTTCAAGGCCTTCACCAAACCAGTGGACATAGAGGAGGTGAGTGGGTTCGGTTAATTATGGTCAGCGTTTGAGGTCTTTAAACCGACAACTGCAGGACAGCTGAGTTTCCATTCGAAAGGCGCTTTTTACGAAAAAGGCAAAAACTATTATTTTGGATTATATCTGTTAAGCTAACGTGGACAAAAAGGAAGAAAGGAAATGTAAACATTCGCAAACTCCAAAATTATTTACTCTTGTCTCACAAAACCAACCGATATATTACGAGCTCAGATGTTTCTATGAGAGTTTCTTCTTGAAAACGGAGTCACCAAGAAACAGCAATCAGCAACCTACGGAGCGATCAGATGACGTCACTTACTGCCTCCCGATCCTCCCAAACCTTGGGGACAGTTTTAGACAAATCGGATTCGGATTATTCTGCTGCTGCGAGGAGTAAACGACGTCCGTCATAAACAAAGGAGTTCATCAGTGTGGATGCTCACATTGTGTTAACAGTGGGGGAAGCAAAGGTTACTGTGATCTATACAGTACACGGTACTCAAATAACTCTCCCTGCTCTGTCTGCTCCAGGTCCCAGACTACCTGATGGTGGTCAAGAGGCCCATGGACCTTTCCACGCTGCTGACCAACATCGACGAGCAGAAGTACGTCACCGTCAGAGAGTTCGTGTCTGACGCAGACCTCGTCTGGCAGAACGCCCTCGAGTACAACCCGGACAGCGACCCCATGGGTGAGACTAACAGAGTCCTGAAGTCGAACATGTCGGACGGATGACATTCGTTATTCACAATGTCCAGATGTTACCTGTGATTCTTTTTAATGCGTGAGACTTTTGTTTGACCTTTCACTGGAGGTTCATCTGGCTTATTATTTTCCATTTCTCCGCCGTCTCTGTGGAGCAGACTGAGCAGGTGATTCCAGGTGAAAGCTCTGCAGCTGCATCGATTTCAGTCGCTCCGTGGAGTCAGACGGGTTCACAAAGCTTTGAAACAGCTGACAGTTTTGACATTTTCATTGAAAACACTGTCTGGTTCGCCGCAGAGCCAGCGGGGTTGTTTGCTGAAAGAAATCCACAGAAATTCCTTCTTTGAGCCGCTCTGTCTGTGTTTGAGGAGGGGAGTGGGTATAACAGGTGAAGTAAAACAGCTGCAGATCTTTCACCCGGATTCACCGGCTCACTGTGAACTGTGACCTCCCCATCAGGCGCTCAGAGACCAGCATCTTAGAGCTGAACTGAAGCTTTATTATATGATATTGAGCCAGTTGTCAATCAAAAATACCAAACGTTCTTTGGTTCCAGCTCCTCAGATGTGAGAATTTTCTGCTTTTTTCTGTTTTATATGCTTGAACTTGTCAAAAGAATATATTTGAGTTTTGAGACAAATTGAGACTCTGGGACATTGCTGACAGGAATTTTTAACTACTTTGTGATGTTTTGTAAATTATTCAACCATAATAAAATTAATCATTAGTTGCATTGCTACAGTATAAGAAACAAACAGAAAAATATTCAAATTTTGCAAACAGTGATCAACATTTTTCAGCATTTTCTGACATTTCATGAACCAAACGACTCAGGGTCGACAGATTAATGAACAACCTAAATGATACCGTTTATGTGTAACTGTGTGTTTATGTGTGTGTGTGTGTGTGTGTGTGTGTGTGTTTGTGTCAGACCGTCACATCCGTCACCGTGCGTGCGCTCTAAAGGACACAGTGCGTGCCATCATCAGAGACGAGCTGGACGAAGACTTTGAGAGAGTCTGCGAGGAGATCAAAGAGTCGCGCAGCAAGAGAGGTGATACTGGCTGAGAACCACAACAGTAACACAGGAAAAAGAGCAGCCTGCAGATTAATCAAATATAGCTGAACTCGTATCAAACCTCCAGAGTAAAAAACTAAGACTCCTATTTTGCTTTCAGCTTCTCCCTGCGGGACTGAGGCCAACTCAGAGGGGGCCGACGGCGTCTGCAGCTCGTCTTTCACCAGAAACAGTCCCCGACCCCAACGTGAGTCCACTATGAAGGATGAAATGTAACATATATATGGTCACAATTTAAAGGTCCAGTGTGTAACATTTAGGAGGATCTATTGGCAGGTATATTTTCATTACTGTATAATCACCTGAAAATAAGAATTGTTGTGTTTTAGTTATGTCAGAATGAGACGCCATGTTTCTACAGTAGCCGAAAACAGACAAACCAAGCTCTAGATAGGCTAGATTAGCCTAGCACGTAGCATATCTGAGTACAGGAAATGAGGATGTTAACCGAGTTTAGCTCAACTGTTATTAACTGTTTCCAGACCAAGAGGAATACATAAATTAATATATACAAAAATGTAACCATTTTATCTCACCAAAATGTAATTAGCTTTCAGACCATAATGTAGTTAAACCTGGGAAGAAGACAATTATTTATAAAAACTGATTCGTAGCATTTCATTGCTGTGCTGCAACAAAAAGTTCATCTCAAAATCTCACCGGGTTCGTCCAACAAAAGTGAAAGTGAGGGTAAGGTAAAGCTGTGTGAACAGGAAGCTGCAGAGTCATGATTTAACCATCAAAGCGTCAGAGCGAAAGAGCAGATGAGGAGAGGAAGAGGCAGCTTCAGACAGCGAGCAGAGAAAGTAACGAGAGGGAGAGTTCAGATGAAACAGAGAAGTCAAGAGAGGAAGAGGAAGAGATCAAGTGGAGAGACGATGAGGTTTGATTGCACTCATCATCTTCCGGCCTTCGCTTTCTTTCTAACGACCTCTTCTCTCTCCGCCCTCTCTCCCTGCCTCCCCCCTCCTCGCTTCCCTCTGCAGCTCGTAAGAAAAAACGCTACAAAAAGCCGAGAAAATCCAAGTGGAGCACCGGCGTCATCAAGAAATTCAAGAAAAAGAGGCCGCCGCTCTCCGCCTCCTCTTCCTCCTCCTCCACGTCCAACAAGGCCAACTCTGAATCAGGCCCAGAGGAGAACGGAGAAATGAGAGCTGAGAACGGCTCTGCTGATCCAAGCTCATCCACCGCGTCAGAGAGCAGCGACGGGGAGCACAACCACCTGACGGGCGCCGTCAACGGCTACCATCATGGCTTAAATGGCATCCCAGGTATCCAAAATGGAGTCCTTGTGAATGGGTACCACCATGCAGAGCCGCTCGACCTTCAGCCAGCTGACAGCGTCCCCACGGGGAGGCTGAACCTCAGGGATCGAACCCAGACCTCTAAGGCTCCCCCGAACCTGAAGACGGTGGTGAACGGGGTTTGTTTGAGCAAAATAGGTCTGTATGTGTATGTGCTTCTGTTCGCGTGGCCTCGCTCTACTAACCGGTCTTCCCCCGGACTGCGGCCGCGCTGCTGCAGCTTCAAAGCTTCGCAGATGAAAAGTGTGAAACGGGGAGTGAAAGTGAGACTGCTGCTGCTGCTGCTGGACAAGCTTCAACAGGCCAAAGCTCTGCACAACTCCGGGCATCGAGCCAAAGCTGACACAAAGCTGAGCTGAGAACAGTTCAGCTTCTCTGATATGTTATCAAAGCTGCACCCTCACAGAAATGTAAGGTTAAAGTGCTTCAGGAGGTTTTCTCTTACAAACACGCCATATGCCCCCTTTAGAAACAAACAGTGACATCAGATTAGTGATTTAAGATCTCTTTAACTGCTGGAGTCAGCCAGAAAACAACCCTTCTAGAAACAAGACAAATATTCTTAAATGTAATCAAATTTTCTTGTATTGAGCAAAAATGAAAACTACCATAAAAACCAGCCACTGATACACTGGAATGGGCCTGAATACAAGTGATCAAAACTCAGTTATTTAAGATAGACTTTAAGTATTTTGGTAACTTTATTGAGTGAATTTAAGAATTAATCTAAGATTAATAATAAGATAAATAAACTCTTACAATAAGGCACAATTTCTTCAAACAGCATAATGCTTTATGATGCTTTAGTTACCATTTTCCTCAAAGGGACCCATAGCCGTCCCTTAAAGTGAAGTCATATGCGTAACTTAAGGCCGTGGCTGAATTTATGGTGATTGAAGACGCTTTTTTGGGGACGGGGAAAACCCAATGGACACTAATACAGCTGCCCCAGATTAAGGATTTTACTAGTCGTCGTACATTTATATTAACTATTTAAATATATATATTTGACAGCCGTTTGTTGAAAAAGCAGTAATGATTCTGAATGTGTCAGAACAACCAGCAAACTCCACTTTACAAAAACAAACACTTGAGGACTTATCGATACGATCGATGATGGATAACGTTACTTACAAATGGACTCTTCAAACCCCCCTCCTTTGAGGTCAAACGTTAACATAACTCTGTCTCATATATAAACACTATCAACACTCAGACAAGGAAACAACCTAAGGGGCAAATGAACTCCTCAGCTTAGGAAAATATTTTACAGTATACAATATTTTAGTCATTTATGAAGCACCAGCAGTAAACACAGGGGTTAGAGGCAGATCGGTGGACCCAGAGGTTCTCAAACCGTCTCTGTTATGTCTCCTTATGAAGCCAAAAACATCCTCCCTTGCATAAATCAAATGAAACTTTCATTAGAAAAACTAAAAACAAGACTGGCCAAGTTCATGTGGAGAGCACTTAAGCCTCCGGGCCAGTGTGACGTCCACTTCCTGTCTGTCTTGACTTGAAAAAAGCAAGAAACACTGCACTGACCAATCTGAAAGAATAAACAATCACTGCCTCGCCCTCCTCTCCACGTCTTCCTCCCTTCCTCAGAAAAGAGCAAAAGGGCCGAGACGAGCGCCAACAAGGCGGCCTTGGACCAGATCCAGCTCTTCAACCAGGGCCGGTCTGCGGACATCCTCGACGAGGAAACGCCGCCGCTGGTAGTCGATCACAGCAAACTGAGGGTGAGTCCGCCAGGTTGTGTTTGTATGTTACCTTCTGTACATGATGTGTTCTGGTTAGCAGCAGTAGCACTGGTAGTAGAGCAGAACACCAAACCTATTTCAATCAGAGGTCTGACACCAGGCTACCGTGGCGACCTGGTGGTAGTACAGTAATAATGGCTTCAGTAGTATTCAGAGCTGTGATTATAGTGTTTTTTTCAGGATGTCCTCAGCAGAGCCTTGGCGAAAACAGAGGGCGTTGAGGTGGAGCCGCTGGAAAAGCTCTACGCTCTGCTGGCTCAGTGCATCTACAGACGCAGAAACGACTACAACAAGATGCAGATGATTCAGGTGCGACCGCCACAACGAGACTGTCCCCAAACACAGCAGGTGTTCCACTTAACCTGGTTTCACTGCAGTCCTCCAAACCCTTCCCAGAATGCACTGAGGAAATTAAAAGACGCTTCTTGACTTCTTTATATCAACAAAGTTATGTTTCTGCCACTGCCGTAATATCACTATCACTCTCCACCAGACTCCATCCAGAGACCATCTAGTGGACTTTGTGCTTTCCAATTGAGCGGACCTTTGCTGCCGACTTCATCGAGAATGATACGTTTTTTTTTCATCTACGTTCGGTGAATTAAGGTCATTGTAATAGGTTGGGATATCTCCACCAACCAGCAGTTGGTGATTGTTTGGAAACACTAACAGAGACGGCTTTTAATGAGTTTTGATTCTGTTTCTGTCCACTTTAATGAAGTTAGATGATTGAGGTAAATGAGTGTTTGTGTCTCTGGAGTCTGGTGGACGAGTGATAGTGATATTACGGCAGTAGGCAGAAACATAACTTTGTTGTATAAACGAAGTCAATAAAGAAGCGTCTTTTAATTTTCCTCAGTGCATTCTGGGAAGGGTTTGGAGGAATGAGTGAAACCAGGTTAAGTGGAATACCTTGCTGTGTTTGGGGAAGTCTCGTTGTGGCGGTGCACCTGAATGCATCTGCATCATTGTTGTGAGTCGTTTCTGCGTCTGTAGGATGCACTGAGCCAGCAGAGGCGGTAGAGCTTTTCCAGCGGCTCCACCTCAACGCCTCTGTTTTCGCGGGCAAGGCTCTGCTGGGACATCCCGGCCTGAAAAAAACTATAATCAACAGCTGCTGCAAAAATACTACTGAAGCCATTATTACTGTCTACCCACCAGGTCGCGCGCCACGGTAGCGCTTTGGTGTCAGAAATTCCTTGGGTTTGGAATAAAGGGATTGGGTGGGGTTCCTTGGTTAATAAGTGGGGTTATGCTGTGCTAAACCGAAGAATCATTGGTCCAGAAAGGTACTAAAAACAAATGGCGGACTCACCTCAGTGTTTGCTTGTGATCGGGAACGATAGACGGCGGCGTTTCTCGTCGGTGTGTTCGCCAGACGGGCCTGGTTGAGAAGTTGGATCTGGGTCGGAAAAGGCCAGCTTGGTTGGGTCGTTCCTCGGCATCTTTGTCTTTTCTGAGGAGGGGGAATGACGTGGAGAGGAAGGCGTGGAGCGTTAGTGGTGTTTTCAGATTTTTGGTTTGAGTGTTTAGTTTTTTCGTAGAGGGTGGGTACTGGGCTTTGTGATCATGTTGGGTTTGTATTTTGTTTTTTTGCGTTTGATTTATGAGGGAGGTGTTTTGGCTTCTGGTCGGGGTTATTGAAGAGTTGGGTACCTGTCTGGACTTACCTGTGTTTAAAGTGTGGTGTTCTACATGAATATATTGTATAAACTGTAACAAATATTTTTAGTGGGAGTTTTTTGCTTTGCGTTGTTTTTTGTTGAAGTGTTGATAGTGTTAATCAATGGAGAGTTTGTTGACGTTTGTGGGGGGGGGTTTGGAAGTCTTTGTAAGTAAAGTTATCGAATCTGATCGTCTCGACTAGTTAGTGTTTGTTTTCTTGTAAAGTGATTTGCTGGTGTTCTGGAAATTGCGAAATTATTCATGTTTTTAGGTGTTATATATACTTTTAGTTAATATAATGTGGCTAGTAATCCTTAATTGGGGAGCTGTATTGTTATGGGAGTGGGGTTTTGTACAGGTTATCCATGAAATTCAGCCGGTTAGTTAGGAAGTGCTATGAATCTTTAAGGGGAGTTCGGGTGCTCTTGAAGCGATGGTATAAAAAGGGATTAAGCCTTAATGCTTGGTTTGGGATTGTGTTTTGTGAGTTTTTTTTCTTATTATTCTTTGAGATTATTTACTTTCCTTAAGTTACTATTAAAAGTTCTCTTAATACTGAGTTTTGATGTTGTATGGTTAAGCTGTTATGATGGTGGTTTTTATGGTTAAGGTTTTCTTTTGTAATCAAGAGATTGAATTATTTAGATTTTGTTTGTTTCTAGAGGGTTTTTTTGGGTGAGTTGGTCTGGTGTTGTTTTTGTGATCAGCAGTTAAGAGTTTAATATACGCACTCTGTGCTCACTAGTGTTTGTTTTACGGGGGTAAGGGCGTGTTTGTACAGAGATAATGAGCTTTACCTTGTTGTCATGTGAGGGTGAGCTTTGATAACTATGGGTGTGTTGATCAGTGTTTGTGTGTTTGGCTTGGGAATGGGGTTGTGGGGAGTTTTGCTGTTGAGCTTGTAATGAGAGAGCAGGGCAGTTTCAATCGTTTTACTTTTATTGGAGTTTGGTGGCAGCGGGGGCGGTGGGGGCGGTTTAGTAGGACGGAGGAGAGATTAGACTATTTTGCTCACTACGAGTTAACTTTCGGTTGGGGAGTTGGGTTGGGTTCGATTGGGTTGTTGTGGGAGCTGTGTGGCTGAGGTGAGCGGTTGCTGGTGGTACATAGTTTGGTCATTTTGGGTTGGGCATGATTTAAGGTGATGGTAGCGTTGAACGGCGCACGTAAGGTGATTGTGTCGTTGATGCCTGCTTGCGGGTGGAATGAGTGGAAGCAGCAGGGGTTCTGCCGTTTTCAGTTTGTTGGTGGTTGGTTGGCTTGTTGGGTGGGCGGAGCGGCGGGGTTTTTGGCTTTTGAATGGGGTGGTGATTGGTTTGTGTTTTTGGGAGTGTTTTTTATTAGGTGAGAGGAGGGAGGAGGAGGAGGGAGGGGGGAAGGAGGAAGGGTCGTTGAGAGGGGGGGTGGAGATGTATTGTCTTCATTGATTATCTTCTTTTTGTTTGTTATATTGTTCTTGTTATTTCTGCTCGTGTATGATGTTTTATCTCTGCTTTGTTGAGTTGATGGTTATATGATCCTGTGTTTCTGTTAAAGCTTTTTAGCTCCGTTTCTTTTGTTGGAGCGGTGAGATTTGAGAATGCCTTTTTGTTGAGAGAGTGATGTGAATCAGTTTTTCTAACTATTTATTTTAGGTTTACAAATTATGGTTGGTAATTCCTTTTGGTGGACTAATGGTTAATTTTTGTTAATAGTTATTACTGTTTTTTGGTCCTGGTAGTTTTTTTTATAGAAAGTGAGTATGTTACATTTTTGTCTACGTTGCTGGTGTGGGTTTGTCTATAGAGTTGGTCTGGTTGTTTTGGTAATGTAAATGGGTCTCCTGTTGATTATAACGAATTCTTAATTTGAGTGTTCTCATATGACAATGATATGTGTCATCTCTACTATGTCAACTGGATTTATTGTGCATGTTAATGTTATTTAATTTATATGGCTCAAGTTGGGTCGC